TGATGGCGACTAAAGAAAAAATGATAAAAAGTTATGTGAATTGGCAAACGAATAATGTGGACAACCTGACTAGGTATCCTGGGAGATGGTGGACGGACTGGGTCCGTAGGGAACCCTACCGAGAACGTGGTCTCTCATATCGGACGGGGTATGGAGACCTTATGTGTTTTTGGCGCCCATACTGGACGGGGTATGGGGACGGCCCGTTTCACCCTCATATCGGACAAGGTATTGAGGTTCATGGTTTTGGCGCCCATACCGGACGGGGTATGGGGACGGCCCTGGAATCAAGTTATAAATGTCACGGGTAGCGGGATCCCTATGGATCCCCATGGATACTAGTAGGCTGGTAAAGAGGAATTATGCTGTTTAAAGATTGAAATGCAAACGCGTGATAAATGTTGTATTATAAAGTCTATGTGATAACGTGATGATGATAATGTGTTGCTTGTGTATTGTTTTATGGATCTCACCAGGTAAATGGAAAGTAAACATTTTTATGAACAAATGAGTTTATTACAAATTATGCTCCATTGATCGTTTTTGTTTTCTACCCACCCTTACTCCTGTGACAGTGAGGTAGAGTGATGTCTTTACTGGGCTAGTGTAGCTCACTCATTACTTAACCATTTCAGATCAGGAAGACGTGGTTCCCGAGCCCATTCCGCATGAAGACGGCGAAGGGGACGCCTGAAAACTCCGTAGTTATATTTATAGCTTTTATTTTCGAGTTTCTCTTTTAGTTAGTTTGTTCTTTTATACTTTGAGCACGTTTTTGGTTTTAATGTAAGGGGTGTTAATCAAAATTTTTATTACGCTTCCGCATTTGACCTTTTTAATACACATATTTCATTTTAAAATTCCGGAGCCGTTACATGTTCTAATCAATTCATTTGTCTATATTATTTTAGTTACAATTATAAGTTGATTGTTGGCTAAGTAAGGAATGCTTGTTTAGGGAATAAGTTTTATGTACTAATTGTGTACGTGTAGGTTTAGATTGCATTGTTGATCCTGATTTCCGCATAAATAAGCATGTGATATTTTTCATTAGTAATAAAAGAAATTTGGCCCATTTTTATTAATTTACAGTGATATTTGAGGACTATCTCATATACTTAATATTTTTAAAGTTTGATGGTTTATGTCATTTATTGATAATTGCACTAGAGTTACCTACTACTTTTACTTAAAAGCAAAATATGATGCTAGCAATATATTATTTAAGTTCTGCAATATGATACGAATTCAATTTAGAACATCTATAAAAAAAAAAAAAAAAAAAAATTATGTATCGACAATGCCAAAAATATTTTTAATTACACACTTTCATCATTTTTTCACTGATGAATTTTTCATGAATCATCCTGTGTTCACACTCTACAAGAGAACAAAGTAGTGGAACACTAGAATGGTTACCTCTCAACGAATTTATAAGTTGAGTCAAGCATTATTTACAACTGTTAATGATTTTATTGGGTTGGTGAGAAGTTTTTAAAACATAGATATTGATATCTTTGTTTATTGAATCCAGCAGTGAACAAAAACTAAATAAGCATAAATAGGTTTCTCTTGTAACTCAGCTTAAGATTATCATAATTTTTTGTCTAAAGATTCAGCATATGTTTATTTTGTCACCTTATTTGTTTTTAGAATTAAGTAAATGTTTTAAGCAATTTTAGTTTATATTATAAATTTTAAAAATATTATTTAAATAATTATTTATTAGAAATGTTTTTAATTAAAACTATTTAATATTTGATAAAAATAATTATAAAAAATATTATTATGCTAAAAAAACTTATAAGTTATCTACTTAATTAACTTTTAAAATTTTAAGAATAAATTTTTAATAAAAATCAAAATAATTTTCCAAAAACTACATATAATAATTTTTAACTTTAAAATTATTAAAAATAAATTTTAATTTTAACGGTTGCCAAAAGCATTTTGTATATTTTGTATTTTTACTTAAAATGTAAAAGCTAAAGTCAAACCTAAACCAAATTACTCTTTTATAACGTCAATATAATTTCTGTTGAAGAAAAAAGGATAACCATTTTCATCCCCACTTAATAGTAAAAATTTGTAAACAAACATGGTACACAATAGCTATTTATAGGTGTAATACATCTGTAAACCTACAAAGAATTACACGCGAGTAATCAAATTTGAATGAGGCCATTCCCTAAGAACAAGTATGCCATCCGGACAAACCCTCATGAAGGTTCTAAAATTCTCCTTTTCTCAGGCTACATAACATTCTTCTCCAGCTTAAAATGCTGTTAAAGTAATAATACAGTTCACAAGAGGCTAACCTGGCAGCGGTGAGTTCATTACCTGCAGCCAATTGCTCATATAAAAAATGGCGAGATAATGGCTGGAAACGAACCAACTCAGCACCTCTTTATGATATCTGCAACATTTCTGCCTATCTCTTCTTTCGTTTGCTCAGACACAGGGACATCTCCAATGTACATGTCAAAGAAAGCCCCTGGAAATAAATTGCATATCAAAACATTAGTGTTAAGTTTCACCCTCCACTTGTTCAACTTGGTGTTCTGAAAAGGTTAATTTGCAGGCCTGTTTGGCTGGTGATATCAAATATGTTCTAACACAACTAAAAATTCACTTACTGCATAAATCCTTGCTGTGGACTGCTCCAATCTGATTGCCACCAACTGCACAAATGTTTTTCACCCCAATAAGATGCATGCATGTCATATTTAAGATATTTACTCAGGTTACTCTTCTGCCGTATGTGGTTATTCCCATTTAATTTCTAAATTTTGTAGAAATGAGTTAATACGTTATACACATAACTAAAATTAACTTCACATATATCTCTAATTCCACAACCTTTAACATATATTCTCAGATATCAAGAAAAAATTACAAAAGCACTTAATTTAAATTAGACATAGAATTGACTAGGAATTACAATTTTATTTTCAAGAAAAATTTATTATATTTGAATTGTGTTCATATTACTAATATATGAAATTAAAGTTTAATCGAAAATCATCCTTAGTGAGAATTCAGATGGAAAAAACTAATGCTTATATTGGGTGGCTAGGTGGCAGTCATTTCTGATGCATCCATTGTTATGGAACCATAATAAAAATAGCCGTTCCCATGTAAGTAGTTACTCACTTTCTGTAATCAGGTGTCCGTCAGCTGTCCGCCGAAAATCAATCATAGTTCCCTGCAAATTTCCATTAAGTTTGGGTAATTTACTGTAATACACCACAAAAAGTCAACAACGAAAGACTAAATAAAATATTACCACAGGTATTGGGATATCTTTTGTGAAGAACGAACCAAACACACTTAGGCAATGATAATCAGTGTCCGGATTTGTCTATAGAAGTCAAGAGACTCTCCAGCAGTCAGTATTATTCAGAGTGGAAAAACAGAAGAGATTTTTTTCTAGTTAGAGAAACTACCTTTGCCAGACGAGCACGCAGAGATTTCTCAAAAGCACTGCAAAACAAAGAGAAATAAAGATTTAATTTTCTCTCAACCACACAATCAGCTAGATTATGTGTGAAAAGATAAACATACAACATGAGACCTATTATTAGGCTCAGGCTTCAACTTCTAAATATTGGCCCAAAATTTAAATGGATTTACTTTCAAATATCCCCTTGCATGGTAAACTGAGTACATTAAATGGAGACTGAGTTCAGCAAAAATTTCACCATCTGAACATGAGTTTGAAAGTAACCATTGACCAGCCTTAAGACTGGAATGGAGCAAATGAGATACCAATCAAAATGGTCTCCTGCCCTAAGAATAAAAGAGCCAGTAGCATTCATGACTCAAGATAAGAAAGAGATGCATCATAAGCATTCTTTATATGTTCACAACATAAAACACATTTGGCACCCTGCATTTTAAAACAGTAATATACATATTTGACACAGTAGGAAATCTTTAATCAAAAATGGTCCATGTGCAATTTCGTCTGGAGGACATTATTATGATGATTAAAAGTTATTGTAACGAAAGGATTAAAACCAATGAAACTTAAAAATAAATATAAAAAAACTTTAACTTACTCTTTCACAGTATTGATCTTGAGCCCATTGCAATTAACCACAAGCCTAACCCGCATATCAATATCCTCCCTGTCATGTTCAAATAAAAAATCATTCATAAGCAATAGTTCAAAATTCAAAACAACGTTGGAAAAGCTAGCAACCATAAGGTTCAACCTAAAATTTTGAATCAAAGCAGTTAACTGCATGCCCTAAGAACAACTGACTTACACAAAAAAATGCTCATAAAAGTCCGCATACTTAACAAAGTAAAAACATTTTTTGCATGGCATTGACAATGCTCAACCTCAAGTACCTGAGAAGATCTTGATAAAAATCATGGTGGTTGGTTAGTTCACATATTGGCACAGACCTATACTTCGGACCCAATTTTTTGCAAAGCGAAGAAGGATGAACATCTATAAGAAATGATCAAGTATTAGAAGCTGAAAAAATGAAGATTCATGTGCTAATAACATCAGATTAGAATGCAGAAGAGTCCACTAACACTTACAAAACCCAAATGCATAGACCTTTAGAGATCTAATTTTAATTATTTTCATAGTCCTGGACCCAGTTCCAACAAGCACCTGAAATGCACAGGAAAGCTGTATGCATTAGCAGGAAGGGGAAAAGATTAAGTAAGATTACAAGGTTCATCTAATGATATGCGTGACAAGCTCCATTAAGAAAGCTGTGAATGTACCTAAAATATTAAGTAGCATAATTTTTAATAAAAGTAAATTATTTCCTCTCTTGGAAAATCAATATTCTTCAGATTTCATATTTGCCTTAAAGCTCTCAAAAATGACCCAGTAAGTATCCCTTTGAGATCAACATCAACAGCAACTGTAACAGAGATGAGACCACACTGAAAGCCAAGCACATTGAGCCTTTTACGCAGAGGTTGGTGTTCAGAAATGCAAATTCATTTTGAAGTGTTCAAAAAGAAGCAAAATTGATGCCAAAGTCATAATAAAATTCAAAGTGAGACCAATACTCCAGATTATTTCGATGCATGTCATTAAAACAGCATGGTAACCAGTAATGTTGCTTTGACCAAGTTGTCAATGTGAAATAAC